AACTAATGATTATATTCCGTAATTTCAGTAATGCGCAGAGTTTCGAAGTAAAGATCAACGCATTTCAAGCCTTCAATGTCTCGTTATTTAATATCTAATTTGGTCCCTCAACGAGAAGAATTTTCGTGGCAGAGGGCTTGTGGGGTGGCAGGTCCGGACCCCGAAACTCCGAATTCGCACAGGAAATTATCGTAGCCGGAGTGGACAGGCCCTGGCTTGGGTCAGCGCCGGCTGTCTCCGGCGTCGTCTGCTGGCGGAGGGGGAACCCGGCAGCGCTCAGTGGCGGGCGGGGTATGGTGTGTTGCCTATCGCACAGGCGGAAAAGCACACGGGGCCGCTGCACCCGTGACAATCTTCGCACGCACGTGACACGCACGCGACACGCACTCAACCCGCACGCACCTGCGCACGCACGTGACACGCACGCGAAACACGCATTTACGCACGCACGTGACAAGCATGCGGTACGCACGCATCTGCGCACGCACGTGTATGCGTGTGCGCGTGCGTTCATGCAGGCGTGTGTGTGTTTGGAAGAGGGTAGAGTATCGTGACGTCATACTGACGCCCCACCCCCCTCCCTTGCCGTTGTTCGTCGGCAAGTGACCAGGAACTAAACGTTATGATCCTCTTATCACGTGGCCAATGACGAGTTAATTTATTCTCGCCACATGAATAATTCCGAACGAAAGTTTTGTTCTTTTGGTTTAGTTCCGTTCCGAATGAAACTATTGCAAAAATATTTGCTTCACCCTACCCAGCCTCTCTTCTCACACCCGCCCAACTCAAACACAATGAATGTCACCGAGAAAATTCACGGCATAGCGTGGGATCAGGGCAGAAACTCTAACAGTGAAGGCTACATAAAGATGGTGACATATCATTACGCCACTCTGTATGTCAAGGGGGATGAGAAGAAAAAAATCCTTCAAAACATAGTGCGTCATGCCAACGTCATAGATATTGGAGTCCTTGGCTGTCGTCCGAGGCTCAGTCAACTACCCTATTTGGCAGTAAGAGATCACAACGGTTCAGACTTACACCAAAATGTACTCCTGTGCAGAGAGAAACGCGAAACGCATAGGCTTATGGTATGAATACAGACGTGTTTGAGTACACACC